AGTTGCTTTAGTTTTATTTATAAACAGACTCGGGTTTTTGCAGCACTGATGCCTGTGCCGCTGGGGGAGCGAAAAACCTTTTCCTTCTTCCCTGGATCCGCCTATGGCTTGAATAATTTTCAGCGAAAATCGCTTGTTTCGTTCGCTTCTGATCATTTGCAAGCAGTTTTGGAATCCTTGTAGCTTTTGAAGCAAAATTTGTGTGTGATCTAAAAATTGCTCATTTCGAATGTTTTGAAAATTATTAAAATTTACATCCACCACTTTAGTTTGGGCGTCATGTTTTAGTGCGTGGTGCCCCAAGGGAATGTGAACGACTACTCAAGTGATCTACGAAGAGATTGTGCTCATAGATCAACAGGAGGTGCTGGGTACCAACCGTCGGAGTACAGCTCAGGATTGAAGAGCCCGTTGTGTGAGGAAGCATCCCAATAGTGTAACTAGCATGTAGTTCCCTCAGCGATTCTTCAGGTAGTCCCCGTGGTGCTTTAGCTTCGTTGTACGTCCGCACTGACGTACTTAAGTAAAATAATTTTTGATTTCGACTTGATTACAGCGATTCTTGAATCACTTTATTCTCTTCTGCACCGCATAATACTGAAAATTTTACTTGTCTGGCCTGATAAGGCGCCTCAGACAGTAGTACAGGCGTTACTACCTAAGAATGGATGCGTAATACTTGAAAACAAGGGCCCTATCACGACATACAGACAGACACACACACGCACACATTTATTGTTTCGGATTCGCTGATTTTTAGGATCGTGATCTGGAATCAGTGATGAGCGATTCGACTGCCGAAGATGAGGTGTATGATAAGAAGACACTGGTCAAACGATCACATGGATTTGAACCGAGCACAGACGGTGGCACTGAACGTTACAGGACCGAAGTGACCACCACAACAAAATCTAAAGGAGTGACCAAGAGCTGAGCTGTTTCCGTCTTCAAATTCTCGAAAAATCCTTCCTTGCTAACCTGTTATCAGTACGCCCATGTGTTCCTCAGGTGAACACTCACCGTGCCACGAATCGTTGTTACTTTTTTTTTTATTATTATTGTGGTTATTGTCATTATCGCGATCACTGCTATCGTTATCATCGTTTTCCGCTGCCATCTTTTTTTTTATAACGAATCCGATCATTTTCACATCTTTTTTTTTTCTTCTTGCCTTGTTTATTATCTTGCCGACACGTTGTCTTCATAACGGGATTTCTTCTTTTTTGCTTGAATTTTTTAAATTTTCTATTGAACTCTTTCGTTAGAAAATCGAATCACTGCCTTCTTCGGTGTTGTATACAAATATCACTTATGCACAAACTGGTTGTGTTAAACAAGCGGCGCACCGCATGTCCCTAAAAATGGTTCCCTTCCTTCCGAGATGCACCAAATTATGCAGCAAAGCAAAAAATGCTGATTTAGAAATTACCGTTTTAAACGGCTATGTGGAATTATGTGGATGAGAGAGGTTTAGGATACAAATGGATGGAGAAGTTGTGAGGAAAAATGCGACGATGAAACAAGTTTGGTGAAAAATAGACAAGAGACCCATATTTTTACTCAAAATTATTAAACCTGAGAAGAGGGAAACGAAAAAGGTGCGCCGTTAAATCTTCGGTTGCAAGGAAAACAGTTCATTTCCCAGTGCTTTTGTATCACTTTTTTTTGATTAAATCTTGATTTTTTTTTTTCAGTCATCTGATTTAATAAATTTGATATAATTCGTATCTAGCTTTGCTAGGATCGTCAATAGCAAGGCGATCACCGCTGATCAAAGCGACGAGAAATGTCGACAGGCACATAGTTGGAGAAGCAAACAGTGTACTGCGGCTGATCAAAGTGTATGTTTGGTATGAAAAACCGAGAACAAAAAAAGTCCATAGAGAGGAATTGACAAATGTATGCTTTTTGAAGCATACAGTCACAAACTAAGAATAGAATTCTTTTCGCAAGGGTCTGAATTTTTGAACTTTGGAAAAAAAGTCGAAAAAATTCAAACACACTTAAAGGCCTGAATTTTTAAGCGGCTTAAGATGTTGAAAAGTCCTGAAATTTTCTTTAAAGGTAGCTCAAGCACTCATTTTTAGAGGTCTTGAAAAACTAAAGAATTTTAAAAAATCGTAGTGAATCGGATTTTTCGGTTTCTTTTTTTGGTGGAAAAATGGGTTGAATTTTTAACTATATTTATTTAAATGGGACCCCGGACCGTTGTAGCTCCCAGACCACGTTGCGGCACCTGCTTTCTACGAACGCATGATAGCTGGTCACGAAAACACACGATTTCTGCTTTTAGTACGCAGCGCTACTTATTCCTAAAGTGTGAACTTGTTTTTTGGTTGTTTCATATATTTGATAATGTACTGAGAAATATATGCTGTCATAAAAATTGAGGATTTTTCACCAGAAATTTCCTCCGTAAAATCGGGCACCATGGGCAGAATTGTCATTTGTAGGGGACGGCTGAAAAAACTCCCAAGTGCAAAATTTCATTATTGAAAGTAAAACTCTATGTCTGGCAGAAAATCAAGGAAATCATTTTTTTTCTTCTCAAGGATCATACCGTACAACTTCTTCACCATCGTTGTCTGTAAGCCGACATAAGCAGTATCGTTCTCAAGCATAATACACCAATGTCATCGCAAGGCGGACAACAGTATCAATTTATCATCGAAACGAATGTATGAATAACAGATTGCTCCGTGAAAGAAACGAATTCCCGACTTTGAGTACAGGAGTAGTGCTATTTTTAAATGATGCTCGACAATAACCTTTGGAAGACAAAAAAAATTCAAAAAAACCACTGGCTACAGCCAAACTTCCAGTCTTCACAAAATGGATGTTCCACTCACACAGTGCTGGCATAGTTCTACGATAAGCGATTTTAAGTTCCTTAGGGACAGTGCAGTGGGTTTTTATGCGTTTTTGCACGTATGAAAATGCATATATTTTTGCACATCACCCCCTTGCACTTGAGTATTGCGTACGAACTCGTTAAAAAAACATGTAAATTTTCTGGCGGGAAAGCGATCTCGGAATCCAAAGGATAGAAAGCTGGAGCTTTGTAAACATATTCTTTGTGTATGCGTGGGTTCAAATCCAACTCCTAGGTGTTCGTGGTTCAAAAGTACGAGCACCTAAAAGTTTTAGCAGGAAAATTTTTAACTCGAGAGCCAGAAAAGCTAGGAAGCTGAAATTTTAGGGGAATGTTCGCTGTCCAAGTACAACTTAAATATTTCAAACTCAGTCTCTAGGTATGCATGGCTTTCACGTGTGAGGCGCATAAATTTTTGGCGGGAAAATTGCTCATCGAACAGCTAGGTTACTTTCAAAAAACGACAGCTAAACGGAAATTGTTCATTTTCCTTTATGCAAAATTTACGATGATTTATGGTAGTAAGCGCACAAGGTAGATATGAAGCAACAACCATTCATGCAGTTAACGAACTACCTCAAGTTTGGTATAACCCAGGCTGGAACGCACCAGGCAGGCCGGTGTGATTATGCGTTTTTGCATCAAACTTTTAAGTACCACCTCTCGTACAAGGGGAATAGGGAGGAAAGAAGGGGACCCCCCATTTTTCACCTCAGGACGGGATTTGATCATTTGTGCGAATCGACGAATTAACGGCCCATCGCTACCCCGCACACTGACCAGGGCAACTTCAACTTCCAAGCTTTCGCAGTTCTTGAGGTGAA